CGGATTGTATTTTTGTGGTTTTTGAAAAAATGCAAAATCCATGAAAATTTTGGGCCACAAAAATTTTCTGCCATACAGTATTGTCTAATGTTGTCACATTGAGCCACAACTGACATGCATCTGTGCAAAGTCGAACAAAATGACAAATTTAAATTTGTTGCTTTTCATCAAACTGCCAAATTAAAAGAAATATTTTATAGACACATTATTTTTTGCTATACATGTATGTTCATGTGTTATACTTAATAATTCTAGTTATACTATCTATTTCTATTTAGGACAATGGATTATTCCAACTATTAGTGGTCAGTGTTGTCCTCCTACTGCTGGCTTTGCTATTCAAAAGATTACTAATAATAAAGCTGTCATGTTTGGTGGAGCAGTGCCTAGGGATGATGGTTATGATATACTTGTTAATACAGTCTATAAATGTCAACTGAAGTCTGATACTACAATAGTAAGTTATCTTATTACTGTATGGGATGTATTTATTGCATGGATCAATCATGTTTGGACATTAATACATGTACATACGGGTATAGCTTGTAATTTGAAAAATGTATTTAAATGAGTGTTACATGTATTATTTAAAGCACCGTTGAGAGTTGGTTACGGAAATTATTGCACGAGGAGCAGTCGAGAGGAAAATGTAGCACGAGGCGAAGCCGAGTGCTACATTTTTGTCAAGACCGTCCCGAGTAATTTTAATTTATTTATAATTTATTTTTATTTTTATTTTTATTTTTTTTAATTTTTTTATTTATTTATTTTTAATTTATAATTTTAATTTATTCTAATGGAAACTGTACATTTATCACTAGTATTAACATAATTATTTTATAATTAAATGGACCATCTCTGAAGTATAATAGAACATGCAGTGTACATGCATTAATACATTTTATAGTATTGATTAATTAATTTTATCTAGCACTGGGAGAGTGTTAAGGGACCAGTAGTACCTGCTAGTGTACAGTGGCCTGTGGAGAGACGTTATCATGCTATTACTAGTATCATCAGTGACTCACCTACACTAGTAATGATAGGTGGAGAGGGTAATGATGATCAACTAGTAAATGATAGTTGGTTACTGAATACTAGTCAGTACCAGTGGAGTAAGGTATGTGTATAAAGTTATTAGTTTAGAGTGTACATGTGTGTGATACAGTGATTGTACAGTAGCTGTCATGTTAATGTATTGTATTGTATTAATACCTTAGAAATACTCACTGTGTGCATGTACAGTACATGTACCTAATGCATGTACATGTATATTCCCTTGAATATTTGTAATATATTGTAAATACTGTTTACATGATAAAATATTGCCATACATGTATTATTTCAACAGATTGTTCTACCTGAATCTGTTACTGGTAGACAGTCTCATTCCTTATCATCAATAATGATGAGTCCAGACTGTGTGTGGTTGGTGGTAGTGGGTGGGGAAGGAACAGCTGAATGGAAAGATGTAGGAAAAGGATACAAGCAATCATATTCAAAAAATATCACTGATCCTAATATCACAATGTTAATAGAACTACATGTAGGTAAGCACTGAACTATTTTGTATTGTATGTACTGTATAGAGGGATTGATTGCAGATACAACTTAAATTTAAGTTTGAATACGTCATTGTTGGTATTCCATAACATAACATGAGGGAATTATTATTGTTATAATGAACTGCTATGATAGTTGACATAACCAAATTACCATTTTCTGTGTATAGTGCAGTGTATTGGTGCCATTTGGCCGGCACTTTATTTTATCAATTGTCCCTTAAAATGTATTTTCTAGTTTTGTAATTTGTGAATAAAACAACAATTAATGCATAACATTTATATAGTACTTTACCCTCTAATGCTACATGTGTTGTGTTCTATTATTAGTAACAGCATTACATCATGTTTACATGTACATGTAGATACATGAATTATTCCTCCTTCATGTTTGTATTAGTTTTAAGAGAAGGTGAATGGAGAGTAAGTGAAGTACTAGATTCTACTGGTCTGACTACTGAGGCCTATCAAGACAAGTACCAGTTATTATTAAAGAAGAGACAATGGTGGCAAAATCAGTTTATAGTATACCCTACAGAGAGAGAAGTAAAACTACAAAATTATGTAGAATCGTTGCAACAGGAGTTAAGAGTATCTGAGGGAAACAAGACCTCACTGCAGGAAGCACTCCTTGAGGCTAGTCAGCAAGGTATAGTCCTCTACTGTGTGTGTGTGTTTCAGTAGTTATTGAACCTATACCACTAGAGAAGACAAGAGTAGAAGGAGTGAAAGAAACTAAACTATCTTCAACTAAAGAAGAAGTGTCTACTGGACCAACTGATGGTAAGTACATGTATATACACACACAGTAATAGTTAGAGACTTGTTTGATGTGTGTGTGTGTTTACTAGTTTATAAAGATAATGATGATCTTAAAGGAGAGGAGGAGGAGCAGCAGACAACAGATACTAAACAAACAAGCAGTCAAGGTATATCCTTATATGGTAATATGTTATTATAGATTTATTTTGTGTAGAAGAGAATGAGAAACTTAAATCTCAACTATCTGACAAAAATATGCTGATAGCTAAACTGATAAAGAAAGAGTCACAACTAAAGGAAGAGTTGCAGTCAATGAAGGACACCACAACTGCTGGTAAGAGTATCAGTGTATTAATTATTTGTAAATACATTTCTATTTTGTAAAATAGAAAAAACAGTGACAGAGATTAGTTCTATTGGTATTCAGTTTGATTATATTGTTCCTTCAATGGGTAAGACATACATAATCATATTTAATATTTGTTTTATATACATGTATACAGATAATTTAGAGTGTCTGAGTGACGTTAACATAGCCAGTAAGAAACTGTTCCTAATACAAGGAGACAGACCTCAACTGTTAAACTGGGAGAGGTATGGGCTAAGAATTGGAGTATCTGGAGGAAGCCTATCATCCATAGAGACAGCTGAGGTAGCCGTGGTGGCTCTTGTAGGAGGACAGTTTGTGTTTCCTAAGAACACTGTACTCATTAGTGCTGTGTATGCAGTCTCTGTTTCCAGATCTCTTTTCAAGCCATTACATTTGGAGATACAGCACTGCGTTAATATAACCAGAGAAGCACAAACCAAATATCTTAGCTTCTTTATTGCCCCAGTCAGCACACCCAGTCTTCCTTACCAGTTCACATTGGTAGAAGGAGGAGAGTTCAGTGTAGGGGAACGGTACGGGTCTATTAATCGTGAGAAGTTCTGTCTCGTTGGGATTGGAGGTAGCCTCACTAATGAAAGGGAAGGGGAAGGAGGAGAGAGAGAGGATGATGATCATAATGGAGGAGGACAAGAAGAAGGAGAACTACAAGGAGGAGGAGGAAGTGGACATGAGGATGAGGGGAAAGAGGATGATGATAAAGAAAAGGACGAGAGTGATCAACATGGAGCAGGAGTACAAGAGAAACAAGATCATAGAGTTGAGGATAAAGGACAAGAGCAAGTAGAAAAGGAAGGAGACATTGTTAAACAAAGTTAGTAATTAAGTGTTCTTTATAATTTTTATACTACATGTAACTGTCATTATTAGAAGGTTCCACTGGTATAGCAGAATCAATGTCATATGCTGGAGTAACTTATTATGAGGAAAAAGGTGTTGAAGATTCTGTGACATTCATTGCTGCTAAGAACCTAAATGCCCTTCTTGAGGTAATGACTATTATATGTAGAGTATATTGAGCGAATGTGTGTTTGTATTGTATAGTATGTTAACGATTATCATTCTAAAGCTGAGATGGGGCAGAATGTTTACTATCGGTTTGGAGAATCATCCAAATACATTGAGCTCAAACTTAATGAGAAGCAAGAGGAGCCATTCACTGGCTGGAAAATTAAGCCACACATGAAACCATGCAGAGTAAGCATGCAGTATTGTAGGTTTATAAGTCAACTAATTTATGTTAATACAAAATGGCATTAGCTTAAAAATAGCCATTATTTATTACATTATGATATAGCAGTGTTTTATTATTTTTTGTTATAGTTGTATAAGGAAGACATTGACAATTTTGGTAAAGAAGATTATCCTCTTCCTCCTACTTGTATCATTTCAGTTTACGGGTCACCAGCCCCTGGTACTGAAGCTATGCTACACTATGCTATACCAATTGAAGGTGTAGTCCATCCAGTAACAATCTTCATCCACAGATCATTAAGAAATACTCCTCAT